GACCGCTGTCTGAAAGATGAAACCAAAAACGACATCGGAGCACAACCGCCCATTGAGAGCCTTCAGTTCGGAGTAAAGGTCTCGGATTTGCGACACTACCCCGGTCGACGGCTCGGAGTGCTTGATTGCTATTCCACTCAAACGGCGCCATAAGTTCATCTGTGCCGCCCTGGAGTTTGCCGAAAATTTCTTCTTCAAGAGATTGAATATTTCGGCCGTCTTCTTTACAGGTTGGATGTCTGGGACTAGGTCTTGATGAACTCCTGCAAAAATTACAAGCCGTCCAATCTTCTCGAAAGTGGAGTTGTTACAGTCGGTGAAAAAGAACTCGGGATCGGACAGGTGAGAAGTGCCGATCTCCCGCAGTTCCCTGGTCCACTGGGAAAAATTCGTCCCATCGGCGCGCAGAGTGTTTTCGGTCTTCCAACAATTGTTGATGTGGGAGACGGTCTGGCTGATCAACTTGGCCTGTTCGAGTCTCAACTTCGCGGCCTGAAATTCTTGCATTTCCTTCTCCGCTGCCGACGGAGCTTGATGCGGGGCTGGGTGCCGATCGTACTGCGGTCGAGAAAACACATTCACATTTGACTTGTGATGGTTGGACGGAAGATGATGCGAGTGATGTGAGGTCGAGGGGACGGGATGGTACTGCTCGCTCCTTTGCGGTTGTTTTCCCTTGTTTGGTTGTTTGATGGTCGTCTCTGCTTGCTGAGTGTCATCGCTGCCGTTGAGCGCTGCGTCGAACAGCGCGCCCATTTTGCTTGCACCGTCATCAATGTTGTATTCAGATTCGGAACCATTTGTTGAGCAATACTTGCGGACGACGAGCGTGACCAGACGTTCCGCTCTTTTTTTGGTCGAGACATGGTTTGATGGTCGGGTGGATAGATGGTCTAGTGAGTCGGTCAGAAAGTGGTTTAAGGGGAAAAAAATTGGGGTGTGAAGAGGTGATAGGCGAAAAGTGAAGAAAGTAAACTGGGGAAAACAAGGAAAATTGAGGACGGAGTTCGGAAAGGAAAGGAAAGGGAAAGGAAGGGGTTGGTATTGAAAGAGTTGGAGGTAGGGAAAGAGAGAGAGGGGATAGGTAGAGATAGAGAGAGAGATAACGGGAAGAAAGAAAATAAAAAAATAAAAAAAACTTTGTGCGGGTGTTCTTCACTGGTCCGCCGCAATGAGATTGAGATCAAGGAGGAGGAAAAAGTCCGAGAGGTCGTCCAGAAGGAGATCATAACCGTTCTGCACCGGTTCAGGGCCACTGAACCGTAATAGGTAGGTGGCTAGCCTACTTAGCTTAATTGGTATACTTGTCCAAACGAATTTCCAGTCGATTGATAGGGTTTGAACTTTGAGGATTTGAAGAAAAACGCAACCTAGCGACAAAGCTAAGGTTTTCGATGTTGACAAAAGGAAGAACTGAGTTGAAATCCACGGGTCGAATCGAGGATTTGCGGGTAAAAAAAATGAAAACTATATGCGAGAGTCCTTAAGGGCTCATAACCTAATGGAACTCGACGTTCAATAGTGTATAATTCCTTAAGGAAGAGAGAGAGAGAATGACTCGGAGGGGACTTCCGAGTCATCTCCAGGTGCCGTGCTGCGGCGAGTCAGAGGCATGTAACCCCCAGGTTACAACACAGCCCAGATCCTGTACAGGGGGATTTGGGCTTTGTGCCTGAACCCCGCTTTACTCTCCCCAACTCCACTCCTTGGCTCTCAGCTACACGGTCACGCTAGGGGAAGGATAACCCTCCCCCAAACCCTTCTTCCCACACCAGCCGGTGACACTACACGGTCTAGTGCCAAGTGACACCAGGTAGCTTTCACCGCTGGTACCAGTGGCAAGCCGGCAAGAGTGGATGAAAAAGGTATGAATTAGGACTTGTTGCGTGGGACACAGGTGAGGGGACTGAAGGTTCACAGACCTTGTGATATTGGAGAAAATCACTAAGATAAATTTGGTTTAGATTCAGTGAGGAAAGGAAATCAAGATGTGAGACTATGTGAGCTAAATACAACTAGGTAGAAGCGTATACGCAGTACAAGCATCTCAACAGGACTTTGGACCAAAAAGTTATTCTTGCTCATTTTGAGTTAGAGATAGTCATTCTGGACCCTGGTACCAAGCGGTACCCAGGTACCCCCCCAAATTTGGGGCAAAATCAGGTACCTAGTACCGCACCTGGCACCTCCTGGGAGGTGCCACAGGTACCTCTGGCAGGTACCACAGGTGCCACCTTGACTCTTGGTTTGCTTGTGGGTGTGACTCTCGGGAGCCATTGTAAAGCTCAAAAGTGTTTGTAAAAACCTTTTGCTGAGTGTGGAAAGGGATGAATGAGGATACCTCTGCCTTTCCTGGATCACTAGACACTAGACAAGCCCACCAATCTCAGATTGGAAGGTTTAATAAAGTGATAGTGGAGTGTATCAAAAGATAACTGTAGCTTAACAGGTGGACAAGGGTTTAACCCAGTTTTATAAGGGTCTAAAAGGTTGATTTGAGAGTGAGAGAGTGAGTCTAGCTGATATTTCAATGGTAAGGGGATGGTATGTAAAGGTATATAAGGGTTTGTAAGGGTAGGGGGTATGAAATAGGTGGATACTAAACTGAGTGGAAAACAACTGAGAGGAGAGCCTCTTAAATACACAAAGGTGAGGATTTTAGCTTCAGGGGAACAAGAGAATGAGAGATTTTAGCTGGCCAGAGCTTTACAATGAGGGGATTTAGCTAGTCAGAACATGTACATGAGGTATTTTGGCTGGTTGAGCAACCTACATGATGTCATAAGAGTTATTTTAGTTTGAACTACATGAGGGTTTTATGCTGGTGAAGCCTTTTACATGAGGTGATGTACTAGTCTGCAAGCTAAGTTGAGGTGATGAATATTACATGAGTGATGTGAGATAGTCTGACAGCTGCAAGGAAGATTAACAAATGACATGACAACCTGCATGATGTCACTTGTAAATCCAGAGTGGTACCAGACCAACACTGCATGTGTCAACTGTCAGAAGATATTGGAGTGGTGTGTATACATGTACTATAATGGTGTGAGAGTGTATGTAGTTGTCCTGCAATGTACATATGTATAGTGTGAGTTATGTAATTTGTTGGTGTTGTTGAGTGTTGAAGTGTTGCCATGGTGGTGAGTTGTGTAATTGAGTGTAGTGATGGTCCAGAGGGTGTAGCTTCCAATCAAGTTGAGTTCCAGTGACGCCTCCAGTGGTGACCCAGGGTGAAATTGACCATAGAATCCAGTTCTTGAGCCATAATGGTTGATTTGTGAGTGTATATATGAGGAAAAAGGGGTAATAATGTTTGAATTTGTAATAAAAGAAAAACTGTAAAATTTTTAAATGGGCCAGATGGCTACCCTTAAGGTATACCACATCCTCCCCCAACTTATTGTCTGTCCCCAGACAATTCCTCCAAAAAAAGTGGCTGAATGGGTATTCATTGGGGTTGCATCATCCTGTGTAGAATCTGCATAAGGCTTTTCTTACTTCCACCCGAGGTTGGGGTGTTTTCAGTTTTCCTGGGTTTTGTAGGTTTTCTGAGTTGATAAAATTCAGGTTTGAACAGTTTAGTCTCATGCCCAGGAGGTAGCCTATTTTTATGATGTTTTTGTTTGTATAAGGAAAGAAAAAAAAAGGGGGAAAAGAGAATTGTTGAGAAATTTTTAACCAACTACAACAAGGATTCTTGGGATGTGGAAGGCGGTATACAGCTGTCTAGAGCGGTCTGGTGGAATTTTCAGGAGTAGTTGCAAAATTAGTTCTTTAAGTAATTGAAATCTCAAAAGTAAAATCTTGGGTGCTCTAAAGTGAGAGAGACTGATGATTGAATCTTCAAGTTCAACCAATGAATTTAGTTGAATTACTTTTTCCAGTAGATTTTTGATTGCTGTTGAATTATCTGATAGACCCAGTGCTGGCGGAAGCACAAAGGTTTCTTCATTTTCCTCAGGTTCTGTAGTATTGTGTCCCAGATGTTGAGGAATTTTGTTGAAATGTTCAAATAATCTGTATGCATCCAAGTAAGGTTTGAAAAGTTGTTTGTTGAAGAGCTTGTGTTGGTGTGTGTTGATATTTCAAATCCAAAGTAATTCTGAGGCTTTAGGAAATTCCAAATCTTCTGCTAGATTTTCTGTAAGGAGGAGTTTCACGTAATTTTTGTTGAGCTGGGTGGACTGATCCAATTCTTTGACTTGTTGAACAGATTGATCCAATATTTCTTCATGATCCACATAGTTTTCCGCATCCAGTCCATCTAGTACCATTCCTGGTATTTCAATTACTGTATGTGCAAGTTCCATTGGTGTGTCCATTACGTTTGCTGATGCCGCTTTCCATTCTTCCACCAGATCTGGTAGTTTGATTGTTGTAGCTGCTGTTTCCATTATTGGTTCCGTATAATCCGTCATCGGTTCCGTGTAATCCGTCATTGGTTCCGTGTAATCCGTCATCGGTTCCGTGTAATCCGTCATTGGTTCCGTGTAATCCGTCATCGGTTCCGTGTAATCCGTCATTGGTTCCGTATAATTGATTGTTGGGCCCACATAATCTGATTTTGGTTTGGTTTGGAAAAGCAGCTGTGGAGTTTTGCATTCAACAGGTAATTGTATCTCCAGGTGTTGTTGTTTGAGTGTTGGTTGATCTGACTTTTCCTTGCTAGTCTTATTCTTGACAAGATGACAGATTTTCTTGACCCATTTGAGCTTCCTTTGAACCAAGCTTGGTTTTACAGTATCGTCCGAGTCGTCCAAAAAGTGAGATTGAACCATGTCTTGAGTTTGATACGCCCTGGTGTATGCAGTTCCAACCGGGTTGTCGTTTTGTTGATTGTTTTGATGAGCCCCATACCGTTCACGATAGTGCCGTACTCGAGTATGACTTGTTCGTATTGGGGGTGGGGGTAAAAGAGGTGGTATTATTGGTGGATCAATATTCATGTTGGGATTGTTTTGATTGCCAGAGAATATTCCAGTTGAAGCTGGGTTGGTTGTTGGTAGAATCGGTCCGTCTTGAGCGTGGGAAAACACCATGACTGAGAATAACTGATTCCGGTTGCTTTATCTTGAGTTGAGTTATTGATAATTTCTAGTAGTAGTCCTAAATTCTTCTAACTAATGTCGCTGGTTTTCTTATCCAGGGCAAGGTTGGGGGGTTTTGGTTACTAACTAATAATAGGGTCTTAGTTAAACGACTCCCAAAATTTGGAGTTCCGACTCCCAAATTTTGAGGACGTCCGGAGGACTGTCTGCGGACGGTCCTCAGGACGTCAAGCCCCCTAATTTTTTTTTCCCCCGTTTTTTGGGAGTCGGTCCTCCAAACCCTTTGATTGGTTTGGGAGTCGACTCCCTAAGAAAATTATTATTATTATTTTTCTTTTTGCAAACCCCCCCGGGGTTTTTTTGGAGTCGATACTCCAAAACCCCATGGGGGTTTGGAGTCGGCACTGAGAAAAAAAAAAACCGCCAGGAGGAATCCTCCCGGCCGGGCGCCTTTCAACCGCCGGGAGGATTCCTCCCGGCCATTGAAAAGGCTTCAAATTCCTTGACGGTGTAGGACTCCTGGGACGGATAGACACGGTAAAGTATATGTATATCAAAAGATCCCTTGAGGGGGAAATAAATTGCAAATAGGTTGAAAAGCTATTACAACTTACGGGTGGTTTGAAAGACCTGCCCCTCTAAATGTACTAAACAAATAACTAAGAGTCTTGTAATCAATATTTAATAATGTATGGCTGATTCCAAGATAGATCTTACTTTCGTAAAGTAATCTCTATCAGACGCTAGATCACGTATCAATCTACTAATGAATCTGTTACA